GAAAGAGAACTGTGGAAATTCATGGCCGCCTACGTTTAAAAAATTGGACACATACATGTAGTCGCGTGCCCACACGCACACACACACACGTATACATGTTGAAGGGCATTTATTCATTAACAGCAGAAAAAAATAATAGAAGAAAACTAGAAGGTTCTGATGTGAATAACCTCTTACATTAGGTGATACCGACGGGATCGAAAGAGCGACTGTATATATCAAATTTAACTGAAATAATCGGATTAATCATATATTAAGATCCATAACATCCAAAAAAATCCTCATGTTCATGTATAAGGTCAATCTGTATCAGACTCTTTTCTTTAAACAAGAGAAAAGACATGCGTTTTGTTCTGGAAGGTGTAACTTGTAATGAAATTGCAAGGTATTCAGTTCACCTTATCTTTGACATACTTAAATAGATTTTGTACACTTCACAAACGTAACTTCTTCCATATAATCCTTTTTAGCTAGTGCTACAATGTTGTTTGAACATGTGGTCTTCATGTATATGATTCTAAAACAGATCAAATGTTTCAGAAACAACGTTTGTCTGTTATTCATTGGACTTTATTCGGAAACAAATTATGTGTCTCTGCAGGTACATTTTGTAGTGGTTTTTTTTTAATCAACACCAAAATGGTCAGAAAATTCTAAACAAACAAGATAGTCACCTAGATGCACTTGTTTATAAGACTTCCTTAAACCGATTAATTGCGTACTCAATAAAATACGAATGACATGGCGCTTCCTACACGTGAGTTTGATGCAACATACTGCCATGAGTGACCCTTAACGTTAACAAGGTTTCTTAGAAGTCATTGCATACCGTACTGCACGTATCAGTGACATGGGGTTCTATATGAACAATGATGTTGGATAAGTATTAAGATCTACTAAAGTATGAAGTTAATTAACCCCGGTGGGATCAATTCCACAATTTATTCTGCGTCCCTCCTGATTAAACCTGCCCGCAGAAATGGAAAAAATGACCAGTGGCTTTTGATGTACCAGAACTAACCCATATCTCAAAGAAACGAGAGAAAGTTTTCCATTATATAAGCGGGCGCGCACAGATGCCAGAAATACACGTGGGAAAAAACATGGCATCTGTTTTAGACGAGGTGCACGTTGGTTTGATCATGATAACAACGAGTATCACCCGGAGCAATGTCTCTGAGATACCGATCAACTTGAAAAGATAGCTCTTGCATACACAGATGAAACTCGCACTGGGATAGGTCTCAGTGACGTCAACACACTGTCAGATTGGTTTATCGGTGATTTTAATTGGTTGTGAGAAGAATACACATACAGTGTAAGGTACCAGTAATGGTACACCTTTAACTCCTAAGTTACATTTGAGAATTGAGTTTTCTTCAATCAAGAGCTTATATTTAAATTGTTTACCGCCAATATTGCGATGTCTGTCTAATGCATCTTCATCAAGGAATAAGACTATATGTTGACTGAAGAAAACAAATACTATACTATATAGAGACTCAGTTAGCCTGGGTTTTTAGGCATAATGGCCCACCAGGGTGGGTGGACAGTGGCGTTTTAGCACAGCTTAAGCAATGGCTTAATAGTGGTGTCATTTAGTTTTAACTCTTTTCACTGGCAAAGTTAATGGCTTGATATCTTGGTGACGTACTGTAGTGTAATTTTTAACCAGTTCCGGTTTACTTCTATGTTCGTGAGTACTTTTAACGCACCACCTCACTGATGGCCTTGGTAGCTCTAAGGGAAACACGAATCAACTCCATTCAGCATCTTCTTCATGTCTTAATGAAAGTAAATGCTTTTTTCTTGTCATTTAGAGAAATGTGTTTTTATTACGATCACTTTCGTTCATCAAATAGCATAAAAGTGGATGTTTCTAAAGGCATAGAACGTATCCACCAAGTTGTTTTATCTACGTGCCTTCATACCTGTATATTTATTTTTTGCCAGCATTTCCACAAAATATTACGTTGGCACAGTTTTAAAACCGTCGATCTGAGAAAAGAGGAAAACCAACGTTAACGCGAAGATACACGTGACAGAACTTCTGGCCATAGACTAGACAGTGCTTGGACATAGACTGGACATTGGGCAGTGGTTTGACATAGACTGGACATTGGGCAGTGGTTTGACACAACCCACTAGTTAGATACTTTCTTTGACAGGACATTGGTAAATCTTCTCTGCTATTTGTAGTATACATGTATCTATAGCATGCAACGTGACACTTCACGGCTTAAAACTGTGTTGGAAAATGCTTGGCAACGGACACAGCTATGTATACGTATGTTAGAATCGAGCCCAGGCCCCATTCATTCTAAGTGTTTTAACATTTTGAAAAAAAAGCATCGATGTTATATGACATTAGAGTGTTTGGGTGGCAATCAATACACTTATACGTAAATTCCGAGACATAACCATAACTCTCAGAGAAAACTACGAGCTGGCTTATCGTATTGAAGCCAAATTTAGAGACGAACTTGGTCACTAAGTGACAGCCGTCACTATGCATTGCTTTACCGGCGAAATTTCTCCCAATTGATAAAGAAAAAAAGAGAAAACTTACCGATTAAGATGCCGCTCCGCTGGCGATCCGGGGTTCATGATAGCCGTCGACATTGCCTTCCCTAACTACCTTTTTCCCAAACAAACTATCGATATTTGTTATTAAATGTTCTCTTTTTTCACGAAAAGATCGTATCTTCCTAAAGCGTTGACCCCTTCTTGTTTACCGTATATTTACTACTGGTCGTGTTCTGCTTACTTAAGAAAGCTGTCAAAGGCGTACGTAGCAACCGTTCGCTCCAATAGCAAAATTCAATGTTAAGCCAAATTCAAACGCGTTAATTTCGCTAAATAAGTCTCACCTATGAGTCAAACAACTCCATATTATACGTCTTTATATAAATATTTATTTTGATAATTCTTTGTAGTATTTGTTACACTTTGTTTTGGAAATAAATAGTAAACATTCCCGGCTCACATTCACTTTTTGTGCACGGCAGCCGGGCTTTGCAGTGGACAATAAAAGTTAGCGCGCTTAGGTGGATAATGTATTGTTCCCAAACAACAGGTGCGTTGAAATGTAATATAGGAAAAGGTTACAACTGACGTCCTTAGTAGACGCTGATTGTAGTTTGAAGCAATATCCCCTTATCTTTGCCTTAGGACTCCTTTCGCTTCGATTGTCTTAAGAACATCTTCCCTGGATTTTATCTCTAGTGTTTTTTCCTAATAAAAAGATGTTCGTGTTTTGTTTAACACTTATAGTTCACGTTATTACTAACCTGAAGCTGTGTGAGCTTGCGGTAATGAAAAACGTGGCTGTAAGATAAAAGATAAAATAACAAAAGAAAGACAGCGTCCAACTAAAACTTGTAATGCAATCAATTAAGTTTATGATTAAATTAGGTTTGAAAATGCGTCACAGAAAAAAATAGGATAAAGAAACCTACACGGCAAAGTTTAACAGTGCAGAGGAATTGCATTATTCTTCTGTGTCAGTTTTGTTATAATGAAAACTTTTGTCTGATAATTTTGGCGTTTTGTGTCTTCACGTGCCGCCTACTGTTTTGCACAGAAAAAGTAAAATCAAAGTGTGATTTCACTGATCGCATAACCTCAAATTTAAAATTTTATAAAAACGTTATGAAAAATACACTCAAGTACTCTCTTTAGTTTTGTATTATTTGTCACAAATAGACGTTGTTTTTACACATACATAATTACGGATTCTTAAACAAACCATTACCTCGAGTAAACTGATCAACATACGTTCATGAATCTACGCTTACAGCAATGATATATGTATATGATAGGTATGTGGATAAGATGCAAGCAGCATATATCATGAACACATGGCTGCAATCTCTATTCAGCAGTGGAAAATTTTATTTTAAAACATTAGAGAAAAAAATTAACTTTTTATCAGATGGTTTCATTTATTTTAATACAACCTGTTGCTATAAATGACTTGTGTGACAAAAACATATCACCTCAACCTTTATCCAGATCGCCTGTAAAATTTTTGTAACTACAGTAATTCATTTTAATGTTGCTATATATATATATAGCCTGTAAAATTTTTGTAACTACAGTAATTCATTTTAATGTTGCTATATATATATATATATATATATATATATGTTGCTATATATATATATATATATATATATATATATATATATATATATATATATATACACTGATGCTCATAAGTTAAGCAACACCCCGATTTTTTCAAAAGTTTCTTCTATCATGATCATTATTTCATTTGTTGGTGGGGTTGTGCATATTTCTTTCATATTTTATAANATATATATATACTGGTTGATATCAATATCGACATAAGACTGAACAAACAATTATAATATTACAATAGTGAGAGACGAGCAAGGCTTGTCAAGTTGTTGACGTCAGATCGTAAAAGCCCACATCGTCTTTAATTTCCTGGTTAACAGCGCACAAGCGTACAGTGGACTTTACATATTTACACGCTAGCGCAAAGCGGTAGGTAGGAAGATCGCCAATGCAAGCAATAGTTGGAAACGCTTCATTCTATTCCAGAGAAAAGCGAAATAGATACGCTCGATCCAGAAAAGTCATACACGGATTCATACTTTACTGACAGATTCGCCTACAGCTCAACAGTGTTATCGTAGGACTCGAGGACTTCTTTTATTCAGTTGTTGGTCGGAGTTGTTCACACAGCAGACGTAAGTATCAGTTAGATATATATCTTTAATTTGCGTAAGGGGGTCCTTGGTGATCCCAATTAACATTGTCATTAGACTAAAATGAAGCTTATGTGGCATTAGTTATGACGCGTGTGTACTTTTCCTAATGAAGCATAGGTACCTTTCCAAATGAAGTGACGGTCTAATTTACAGTCGCGAGATGACCGAGAAGTTCATTATTCTGTTTATTTCTTGCAGTAGACGGTTTAAGTGGTTGCATTGAGTTGGCTACATTGGTCAGTAATACGTGTGGCATTTTTCAGTAAATATGTGTGCAACTACATCTGTGACAGAAGGTGTTCTTTAACGTCTTTAAAGCAGGTGAGTGGATTTTTGGGGTGACACATCTGCTTTCCGTTGGCTCAATAGTGTATATATACATGTAAATGCTAAGTATATGTACAAGTGTCCCTGCATGATAACTTATACATTATTTACACCCTCTACCAGGGCGACAGATTGATTTTTCAAAGATATTCAAAAATATGTCTTTAGATAAATAGACAGTCATTTTTTTCTCTGCCTTTTTGAACATTTGACTTTAATATCTGCCGCCCTGGTACGGGGTACATTATTTAAGAATCAGTAGCAGATTATGGGCAGTTTATCCATTTGTAATGAACTGTATCAACTATAATATGATTATTTGTGAGATGATATACGATGCCGTTTGTGGTACAACATTACCGATTGGTTTTTAGTATTGATGAATTATGAGGAGTATTGTAATGAGTAACAATGTGTATTTCATCCGAATTCAATAATTCAGTCAGTTAATTCAGTCAGTACAGTCAATAATTAAAGAAGGTAGGCGATTATTTATCTTTAAAAAAACAGGTTGTGTGATTGATACCCTTTATGCATGCCGAGCTGTGATCATTAAAACTTCATTAGCTGTTATCAAATTACGAGATTTGAAATCTAATAATCATGAAATCAAATAATGGCAAGAGACGAAGATATATATCTCCGGAAGAACGTGATTTCAAAAAAAAAAAAAAAAAAAAAAAACAGACAGTCGTCTGGAGACACGTTTGGATAAAGTGTTTTGAGCCAAGGACTAAAACGATACGTCTGGATGGAATGTTTTGCTCGAGGAAGCCTTGCAGCACTTCGTCGTAGTTGCAATGACGTCGCATCTGAACGAAAGAAAAAACAACAATCAAAAAGAAACTGCTTGCAGAAACCATGGCGTATAAACGCTTATCGTATAAACACTAATCTTTTCAATGTTTACAAACTGACATTTCATATCTGCCCTTCTTATATGTCTGATGACAAAATATTTTTATTAAAGAAGAAATATTTACATAAAGGCTAACATGTAGAGAAAAATTGCGTTGCAAGTAAACGTAACGTTTGATTCCATTATTGTGCTTAATAGGTTTAAATAGCAAAATTGAAAATCTACTGGAAATGTCAACACTCCATCTTCATGGCCAAGTATCAAAGCAGTTTATAAATAAAAATCACGATCTAAATATGATACACTTCGAAATTGTCATCATGAGATCATCGATATCGTCATGAAGGTGGGTACTGGTAAGTTGAACTTGTGATGCTAGGCCTATAAATTAAAAAAACTAAAAGCTCAAAACCTCAAAATAAAAATGGTTTGTTGATCGGAATTTTCTCGACGGTTTTGGATAGAGTATAATTGGGTGATCGAAAATAAATGTCTGAAATTTTCAAGATGATTTTTTTGCCAAAGATCTTACTCACATTGTTTTAAGCAAAGATGTGATCAGTTTGACTTTTAAATTTTCCATTTTGTCTTTTATTTTCTACGGAAAGACCAGCATGTGTTATATACTTTAAGAAATCAACTACGTTTCCTGACCAATTGACCCACATATATATATTAATTGTCTTTAGGGACGAATATCACCCGGGATATTATGAAGATTCGAATTAGAAACCCGTTCTGCTGCTGAATGTACTCTAAACGGTCAATCAATATCAGAACTCGGATGTTCAATAAACACCATGGAATAATCATTTTGCAACCTGCTAAGTCCAGCTATTACAAAACCATTACATGCACGTGTTACATAATGTAGTTTTATAGATTAAAAATGAAACATTCTTTTAATCCGCTGGGGGAAGGGGTTCGATGGCGGATTTAGGGGGAGATGTCGGGGGGGGGATCCTGACACCCCCTTCGATTACTGAAAAAAAATCACACCAATGTTCCCTTTTTGTAATTAGAATGGTACCGCCCCCCCCCCCCTTGCAAATAGTCCTAGATTCGCCCTGGGGCTATACGGCTTCATTTTAACCACCTATTAACCTGGCACACACTGAAACATAAATCCACCGGTGGTAAACGCCGCCGTTAGCTGTAGAAAAGACATTTCAAGCTGTCCGGCTGTCTGGTCCGTTAACGTTAAAAATAGTGTTGGAAAATCAATTACACATTTAAAAAAGGTTAATGAATTCAGCTGTCATTGCCCTGAGTATTGAAAGTTGATACGTATGACGCGTGCCAGCTGCCATCGGAAATAGAAAATGAAACAGCAGATAATTTGTTTGATGTCGTTCAACATTTGGCCAATAGTTAACTTCGTTCAAATGTGTCTGTTAGGATGATGCCAGTTTTATTACAGAAAAAGTGAAAGAAAGAAACGAGGATTTCAAGGGTATTCTTTTGAGCATTAAAGCCACTAAGACTGCGTTCACATGAAAAATCTATTTTCTAAAGATTTTAAAAATCTATTTGCGGTATCTTGTGATCACGGTCTGTGCCCTGAATACCCCGCGGCGTAATTACGGGCAGTGCCGAGAATTAATTACAGCTTTGGAAGTAACTGGCTCGCGCTGCCCGTAATTACGCCGTGGGTATTCAGGGCACAGACCGTGATCACAAGATACCGCAAATAGATTTTTAGATTTTTAGAAAATAGATTTTTCATGTGAACGCAGCCTAAAGCTTGACTCACTCTGACTGGTTTGCCTGGTATCGGCATACATTTTCATGTAGATCGAAAAACCTTTTCCCGAGCTAGTGCATAGTTTGATCTCGGTGGTATATTGACGAAACGGCAGTGGCTTGGTTGTAAACAAGGTATTGTTTAACCTTAAGTGACATAATTACAACAATTTGAACGGAATTGTGCAGATTTGGAAGAGTCTTGGACATTTTTGCTAGATTCTGTTTGCTTTAGAATTCATTGGTTTCTGTCCACTTTAGCTTCTGCAATCCTAGAAAATATAACATTAAATTTATTGCATGTTTTTTTTTAACTTTTCCACATGTACATGTAGTTTCACTGCAGAAAAGACGCATAGCGTTCAAAATATTTTCAGGCTCCCCAGTCCCTTTATAATCCACCATGTTGTTATTTATTCAGTTTACGAACATTTATTCAACATGAGAGGGCACACGATGGAACGAAAATATACACTAAGAGAAGTTATTATCATATGATATAGAAGCCGTACATGCGATTTTCCTTTTATCTTGTGCTCGCTATACTATCACATTTCATTCTCAACAAACCTAATACGGATTCAGTCGGGTGGCTTGTTCAAATATAGTCAAAGAGAGGATAGAAAATAAATTTGTCTGATTGTTTTCCACACTAATTGCACACGATGGAACGAAAATATTTAAAATACACTAAGGGAAGTTATTACAATATGATACAGAAGTCGTATAGGTGATGGCCCTTTCATCTCACACTCGCTATACTATCACATTTCGTTTCCAACAAACCTAATACAGATTCAGTCGGATGGCTTGCTCAAATATAGTCAAAGAGAGGATAGAATAGAAATCTGTCTGTTTGCATTAGGTATTGTAATTTCCTTACAGACACAGTAAAAGTAAAGGATATCCATAAATACCCCGATAGTACATCTCATCAGAATGTGATGCAATGTGTAGTTGGACGTTACATTAAACCAATTTGGATGAAAGTCATTGACAGGTCAAGGATACCCGTTTTGATATGTTTCTACGTTTGAGATGTCGTTATAACAGGATTATTGGGAGTTTTTCTATCCCTGTTGCGTTAGCCATTAATTCTTCTTATATTTCAATACTCACGCTGAGTTAAAATCGAAATCAAATTCCTCGCAGAGGAAGGAAGGAGCAGGACATCACGTGGTCCAGCAAAGCCATCCCGCTAGCTCTCTGACTGTGCGAGAGCGAGCTCCTGCCAATGTGACTTATGAAATTGTAATTTTATATTCAAGTATTCATAAGCATCTTAGTGTAGATAATCGGGTTAGTTATCCACTCCGACAATAACTTTCCCTCGAGAAATAAAAGATAATTCTGAAGGCTAGGGTTATGTAAAATGACATTTCATTTGGTGCAGATATTTCCATAGTTTTAGCACCCTGTATTTGCATCTCAAGTTGCATTTCTCCTATTTTATGAATAGAATTTAGTAATCCTGATGATAGATGTTTTACACGGAGTGAAAACGGTTTAGGATCCAGGATTATTTGAAAGGAGGTTCCGGAACGACAAGCCTCGGATGCGGAGCCGACCATGCCCCCTTAGCTCGAGGTTCGGGGCCTTTGGTACGTTTTAGAACTATGATTCACTTATGATTCAGCTAGTCAAAATTCTAATTTCAAGAGGGGAATATTGGGGTGATATATTTTTCAGAAAACGATGGGGGGTTCAGGACCCCCCTGACCCCCCCCCCCTTTATCCGCCACTGATATCATTTACCTGGATTGAGCGGAGTGAAGATAAAGTCCGAATGTTTAAATCTGAACTACGATAGGATGGCGATCAATAAGGACGATGACGATAGCATTTAGTAAATTTTTGAATAAAAGAGTCCCAGCGGTGATCTGTTCGCCTCACATAAAGACAGGTTTCCAAGAGGTTGTAAGGTTCGATTTTAGGTTCACAGATCGAGAAGAAGTGAGCAACAAGAGTCGTGGATTTCCAAACAGCTTTATTCCCACTACCTAACTTGTTCTCTCTACCCACCACCTGTTCTATTTATATGTACCTTAATGTCTCATTATAATAATACTTTATAATAAATCTTACTAGGCGCGGGCGCCGCGACATCCTATAGTCTAGGCGCGGGCGCCGCGACATCCTAGGGGCGTGGGACATGCTAAGGGGCGCCACCGCGTCCCTTACAAGGTAAAAAACCGAGTCTGACGCCGCTTCCCGGAGAACTAAGGCGTGTTTCACAAAAAGTATTTTAACCCAAAATTTTGTCTAAACATGTAGACGAAATCAGTCTAAATCAGTAGTCGTCTAGATGGAGTATTGTTCCTACTTTTATTAAATAATATTTAAAAAATTGCCTCAAGCTGAAGCCCACTTGTCTCATTTAATAGGATTACTGTGCATTTTTTAATCTTAGGCAGAGGTAAACCATGTTTATGTTCTATGAGTTAAAAAAAACAATTCTCGGATTAATGTTCTGTTGTGATCTCGACCCCTGATATATCTGTAAGCTGTTATATCACGCAAGAAAGAAAGGTGTAAGATAAAGGACCTCATTTTTTTAGAATAGATTGGTTTTATACCGACATTATAGGTCCCATATTTATTGGAGTCGTCAACAAATTAAAAGGCATGGTGATTCTAATTACGAACAAGTGACGTTCCGTAAGTTGTTTAATAGTCCCACACAAACAAGCCACAGTTTGCATTTTTTTCCGCGTCGGAAATCAACGCTTCCCATTTGCACCATAGTGCGACAAGAACTATGCACGAAATACCACATTCTTCCTAGAAAAGAAATTCTACTGGTTTCAGATTCAGATTGTGTCTAGTTTTAGGGCACAGTAACAAATCAATATTTGCACCGTCCGCAGCGTGCCTTGCCGCGTGCGCATATACAAAGAATCATTGGATAAGCTAAGGTCGCATTCAGGGCAGTGGACTAACTAGTACGAGGGTCAAATATGGCCGACCCGCTCGAATACATCCCCGCGGGGAATCAATTCAGTGTCTATTCGCCGACAAGGTTAATTATGGGTCGCCATATTTGACCCTCAGACTAGTTAGTCCAGTGTTCTGAATGCGGCCTAAATTTACAATTCCGTATTATCCCTGCCTTTAATTATCGTCTCACAACTCATTTCACACAACTGATCTCGCTGACTAGGCTACTGCCTTGTAGAACTGCTAGCTATTATGTTTTGGATTAGATTTTGAGTATTTCTTTCAGTTCGGCCAAACCCCAACGTAATTTTTTAACCAGGCATGTTGTTTTCTACATACGGTACAAAACATTTATTGCTAAAGATGTTGCTTATTTGAAATAATTGACCTAATCACAGAAAAAAAAAACTATCTTGGTCTGCACTGAAAATGATTACCAGGGTTTAAAGCACCGGTAACCCTTTGTTTTTTTCATTTTCCTGCGTGCATTGACTTTAATTTGAGAGTTGTGACAAACCCGGTTAGCGCGTTGATTAACAAGATCGAGTCGACATTTGTCCGCAGTAAGCAAGGCGTTGGGAAGAAGATAATTCCCTGGGGTAATTTCTTGGGCATTCAGAACATTTAGAACATTTCTCATTAAGGCAAATTGAGCGTACAAGTCGTCACATTAACAATCGACGCACCTAACCTTTCTCAACTGTTTTAAAGCTGCATATTGAGCGAGCACTTTCGTCGAATCATTGCAGATAAACCCGACAGGGTTACATGGAATAGGATAATCTAAAAAATCGAGACATTATTTTCTTGCTATTTTTCTGTACATTAAAATTTAAAATTTAAGGGCAGAATTTTAGAGGCTCTACAGGTCTAAAACCTTTGCTTCTGCTACCCGTGATATTTAACTTGATTTTCATTTATTTATTTATTTATTTATTTATTTATTTATTTATTTATTTGTGAGAAACTGAAACCAACGATTAACGTATGTTACAGGGCATTAGTCTCTCTTCTCCTATATTTAGATGTTCTATTTAAGAAGCAACTGGATGGATGCGGCCACTAAAGATTCACGGACAATGTGGAAACAGTTCTCATTTCCTTAATAATACGATATTTTTCCTGTCTTTGATGAATAATTTGGTTTCTATACACTTAGTTATCTGGGAGTAACATAGGGGCTATTATGTGCGGGTATATACGGATAAAGAGTTTTCGCAAGTAGCGGTGTACGTTACTCGGATCAGTCTCCTACAAGTTAATCCCGGATGTAGGCAAACAGGTAATAACGTTAACAAAAATGGTCACAGCTGGGAATATAAATCAATTTTAGAAGCAGTCGAAAAAAGGGGAAATTACGGAGATAACATTTCATCGAATGCATTTGTTCCCGACCACTTCGACCTTTGGTGATCTTTGACGCAATTTCACTGACCATGTATAATCAATTCAGATCACTGAAATTGAAAATCGTCACCACTGACATTTAACTACCTTTATATTTGCATTTCCTGTGGTCAGTTACTAAAACGGTGCTAAACAGAAAACTGCACGATGTTAAAAGGGGTTTAATCAGCCAGTACACATGCTTTTCTCCGATCACGTTAAGTCGGATTAAGCATAAAACAAGGTGTAACTCAACCTTTTACAGGACCGTTGTGACAGGAATGGTAGTCTTAGGGATGGAAGGCCGGGGTCCCATATGATCAGTACAGGTTGTAGGGTTAGTTGGAGTATTGGGGTTAGTAAATGGGACGAATGTCACCCGTGGCATGTAATGCGGAACGGACTGCGGTTCCTAGCGGACTACTATTCCTGTTACACCGGGTTTAAAGAAAAGTTTAAAAAGCCTGTACTCAGCAATTTTCATAGAGGCTCTTTTTTTTGGGGGGGGGGGGGGGGCGAACTTTTCTATCTCCTTAGTTGACACGCCTTCAAAAACCAAGACAACAGATGGTTCCGACGCCCACAGACCTGAAAATTGATTTAAAGTCAGTAAAAAATTTACACCTCGAGAAACGAAAACACGCTAACAGAGTTTTGGTTAATTTTATCAGCGAATGACATAAAAAAAATACTTCCTTGAACATAATCCATGTAAGACTTCCCTGTTACGCCACTAGGCAACTCTATTTCTAAATTAAACATAGCGTAACCTTCCTGAACTCGACACAAAATGCAAACAAAACTGCACCAGACAGCCAGAAATTGATTACCTGATCTTTAGGAGGTTGGTTATTTAAATCCCCAGGAGAAAACACAACTCCAAATTGCTCTAAATCTAATTCTATCCATCAAGTCTGATTTTAGCCGTGATAGGAAGGGCGATTACTCTATAAATAACTGGTAATACATGTTCATGTATAGTTCAAAGGTTTAAAATAAAAGTCATAGGCATAAGTATAAGTATACAGAATTAAGTTGGAAAGGGACAATCACATTTTACTCTATGTATATATAGAATCTATATAAAAACACTTTTCACTTTGACAGATGTTTCAGTGATACTGATATAAGTAACCTTGGTACCAAACTGTCAAGTTCTTTTTACAAGAAATAAGTCTAACAAATGTCGACTTCTGGCGAAATAATTGCTGTGAATAGTGCAAAAATACGTTCTCCGTTTGGTGACAGTTTTGCCGTTATTTCCTCTAACGCTCTGTGGCTAAACTGCACATTAACACCATTATTGACTACAAGTCACTGGAGTTCATCAGGTATGAAAATGTCTATTTCATCTGATGACTTTCTATGCTAATTTATTACCGAATATACCGGTCCATGACTTTGAAGGAACAGTGTAACAACCTTGCACTAACGCGTGAACTGTAATGAAAATTCGCACGTTTTATCAAACGAAACAATAAGAATTATTGTCCAATGATAAGAGCGCGACAAGTGCACTTGACCCGCGGTGTCCAGATTCATTTATTCTCAATATGGTATTCCAGCCAAATAATTATATTATATTGTATGGTGTACCATATCCAAGAACCGCTAGCTTGCAATAGGCAATGGATGTATTACATGTAGGAATAAGGTACCGAATGCGTCGGGGGAGACGGGCGCAGTGACGCGTTTCCTTTCATTGATTTCAGTAAAATAAATCGAATTACCGAACACGTTGCAGTTGCGTTGATTCACCTTGATACAGGCAGTGTAATCAGAACCATGGAGCTCGTATTGGAAGCAGCTGTACCCACAGCTTCTTTTGCTTGTTGGTCCTTTGCTAGATAATCACGCAAGGAAAGAAAAGTGTACAACAGTGTTTTTATGTAATGCATGCCTTTTTTTTAAATCCTCCTCTTGAAATTCCAGAACGTCATGCACTGAGTGGACCAATGTATGTGGTTTGGAGTCTAGCCTTGATACCACACTGACAATTTTCCCCATCGTGTTTGAAGGTAAGTCAAGTGCTCATTGCAATGTGATTAGCGTCCTGTAGAGACAGTTTATTGCGTTAGATCTACGTGCTTTAGGATGACAGATAAATGGACGTTGTTATCACTGTGAAATCGACAACTCACCTACGACGTGCTCGGTTTATAAAACTCTTTATTTCATGTTCTCTTTTCATCTTTCCATATTTCTATGTCTTGATTTTTAATCGTTCTCCTCGTATTTCATTACATCAGTCTCGCGGTTCACTCACATCTCTTTTGATCTGTTTCTCTCATTTGTTTCTTTTTAACTAAATGCTTAGGATTAACTCACTTTGAAATGGATCGATGAGTTGGCCTTGCCTTCCGCTTGTTTCGATCCAGGTAACCCTCCACTGAACATAAATTAAAGGCTATATAAACAGAGTTTAATCAAGTTTGGTCCCCCTATAGAACCCGTACTTAAAACGACAGAAGCAGATACGTGCATAGAATTCTTAATTGAAAAGTGCACTTAGATTCACTTAGTCACGGCGCGATCATACGGCGTCGATACTAAGGGTTACCTGTGATCCCAATTAATTTCCGTACGTTATGACTTAATCATTATTTCCCCCTTTTTTCGTTTTTACATAAACAGGCTACTGCCCACTCGTGGATATTTTTAAAAACAGCATCCGGAACTGAAGCAAAGAACGCTGGTTATTCAGTAATCTTGCGCTGGCATTAATGCAGAAGTAACATTCCCGTCCATCTGAATGCCAGAGCTGATCGACGCTGATTATAAATATCTTTAGCCTTCACACATCGGTATAGATCGTAGATTGTTCAGATGAACTAGGACACTTAGATATGTACGAACTGGCTGCAGCGCGGTCTAGAGGCCAAGAAGGTAAGAAATATAGGTGATCGCTAACAATGGACAATAACTCAATTAAGATGCAAAGACGAAAAACTGCATTTTTATTTTTGTGATTTGATGTTAGGGGATTTACACAAAGCGTTAAGTAAGAAGGAAAATTCACTCATTAGATATTTATTCAGCAACTGCAGTAAAATAGCATTTTTTATTTTCGTTTCTTTACAGACGCCAAACTGTTATGCAAGCTTTAACCTTGGGTTTTAACCAAGACGGCATTTGCAGTTCGTGGAAAACCGTGATTGGATAAGCAGTAGCCAGGCTGCCTTTTACTTCAGTAAAGTTGTTACAAACCTGGCATCTGAAACCCCACGAAACACGACGGATTAATGTAATCAAGCGGTAGTCGTTACCTAACTCCATGTTCGCGAGCTAAATATACACCGGTAAACTTACTGCTTTTCAATTCTCACAATTATTCACAAGAGTTTACAGATTACCTGCTCCGAAACGCTGTGGTGACCCTCGCTTCATCGGAACACGAAGACTTACATTTGGATTTTGCTTGTGACCGAGCCCATCTCTAGGAAAAGTGCCCTGCGGATGACGATGACGGTTATTGCTGCAGTCTATATAAACCTGCAGAGAGTGATTCTCACCACAGTCATCACTGCCCCAGTGCCATGTTCTTCTTTAACGCGATACTCCTGAGTAGGAATTGAACTCCTATTATATAAGAATGGAACGCAGCATACACCGCTGGAGCGACATAGAGGAAAACTGTAGCGTCGTGAGTGACTTCAAGGGTGTTGGTAACACCCCGGGGGGACCCCAGGCCCACTTCTATAGCTTCATCATGCACGTGTGCGTCACAGGATTTCTGTGCGTCTTCGGGCTCGTAGGCAACTTTCTGTCGCTCATCGTTTTCTTCAAGTACAAAGCCCGGTCCTTGACATTCTACCTCTTGCGTCCACTAGCCATAGCAGACAACGTGCTTCTGCTTATGACGATAGCGCTAATGGTGCTCCCGGCCGTGTACCCCTATTTACGGGTGTTGGAGTGGCCCTCGAAAGAAGAACCGAGAATAGCCGACTGGGCTTGGCCCATAGGAATGGCCGCCCAGACTGCCTCCATCTGGTCCATCGTCCTGGTCGCCATGGACAGGTTCATCGCAATATGTCAGCCTTTCAAAGCCAGGAAATTCAGGCGCCTCAGCTCAATCAAGATAAGTATTGGTGCTGTTGTCATATTTTCCGTTTTCTTCAACATTCCACGCTTATTTGAGAAACGCTCAGTGGTCTACTTTAACGCGTGCACCAACTCCACGGAGACAGGGTACAGAAAACTTATTCTAAAGTACCCGGGATATCGCTTCGGATATTTTGTGGTGGCATACACTTTGATCGATATAATAATTCCTTTGGCGATCCTGTCCTATGTGAACACGCGTCTGATAATGGAGCTACGGCGAGGGGCAAAGCGACGGAGTCTTAAATGTCAAAATATTCAAAGAGAAGATAAAACAATGACAAAGTTATCCGTCGTCATTGTAACAGTTTTTACAATCTGCCAACCGCCGTCTTTGGTGACACAAGTATTGGACGCCGCGGAGGACCATCTTGACGCCAATATGATGGTGTTTAGACAATATTATGTGCCCTTTTCGAACGTGATGGTCGTCCTGAATTCTTCGGTGAATTTTGCGGTTTGTTATATTTTCTGTCGCGGATTCAGACGCTCGTTGGCCAAGTTATTGACTTGTGGGAGATCAGCGGACGAGGAGCCAGACGCTAACAGGAACAACTACAGCTCCGAGTATTGGACCAGGGAAATGTTGGCACAGAAGTGCGACCATGGAGTAGCCATGCCTTTATGTAACCGAGCCAAAAGTCACTCCAACTGTGCGTGTACTGATATATGTTTTATTGATGAGAATGACATAACAAAGGTTTAAGGACCAGGTTCTATCTTTTTTGTTTATTTTTACGGTAACATTAAGAGCAAAAATAACAACTTTGTTCATAAGAAAAGTTATAACTCGCACACTGTAAAAGTCAGTTTTGCAAACAAGATTGACTTGGGAACTTTAGTCGTGCTTGCCATAGTCGGAATGAGTGAGAATGATAACTCACAGCAGACTTAAAATGGCTAACTTGTTAAGTTAGCCTGACTAAGAATGTTATATGCCACTTACTACATGTACCAAACCCTTTACCGGGCATGTTACGCTGTTGTCTCCAAAAGACAAAACTATTACCAAGAATAGATAATATGTGCTACAGACACAGTCACCACCGGGAAATCTTCCATTTACACGTATATCATGCAAACATAATGTATGATATACACGTACCATGGGCGATTTTTCTCGTCAGAGACAAAATATTGATTGTATGAGAGATGCATCGAAATTAGCTTCGTTTCCTGTCACTTTCTGTTTCAAACATACCATCATTTTTGTATTTCTAGTGACTTAATGATGATAGGTTGTTATTGAAAAACAAAAATTAATACCTATGAGAAAAGTCACCAAATTCACCATTTAAAGCAAGTACATGTAAAACGTGCAATGCTTTGCTCTTAAAGGTAGTTTTACATGTATCTTCTTCTACTTAAGACAGGCAAAAATGCCATCAGTTGTCCTTAGTGTAATCCGTTAAAAGTACAATGTTATCCCACTGGGATCAGCAAAGTAGTTGGCCATATTGATTAACATGCATATGCCTCATTGGCCCCATTTAGAATAAGGAACCAACTAGTCCGAGGGTCAAATATGGCGACCAACTACAAAGCTTGCCGTCTAATCCGCTAATAGGCACTTAATAGATATCCCGTGGGAAAGAATTCAAGTGGGTCGGCCATATTGGACCCTCGGACAAGTTAGTCCACTGTTCTGAATGCGACCATAGTGACCATTATGTGGATAAATGCCTTTACTAACTTAATTTATAAAATTAGTCACAGCTCTGTAAGTTGAAAAACTTAGTCGTACTGACGAAAGTTTGTTTCTCGCTCAATTTTTTACCTACGTCTGCCATAAATGGATACAAGAGAACTTTTATGGGTAATGCTTGAAGTACATGTTTTTTACTTTAAATGTACGTTTTTCGTTGTCATTACTATTAAATGGGGATACGTTTTATGATTTTATCCTTATATTACTGTATTATGTATTACAATCGCCAAGTAGGTAAGAATGACGTGCGATGCCAGAAAACTGAACGCCATCTGTTTCGTGTGTCTGAAATATCCGTAGCCATCATTTTGTGTTAATTTTCCTGTAGCGCGAACTTTAAAACTTATTCATTCAAGAGGTTGAAATGAGCTCTGTCTCTCTCTCTCTCTCTCTCTCTCTCTCTCTCTCTCTACAAACCCTAAAAATAAAATTATAAGGCCATTGATTGCCAATGTATGTAGCACCTCTGAAATACTTTTTCTGCGATGGATTAATGAAAATACTGCTAAAATCTCAAACCCTAGACAGCAGAGGAACTAACTTGTACTATTTCCTTGCCAAAATCAATAAAATGTACCATATCGGTTGAACGCTATGTTTGATTTATATTTGTACCGTTTCCGTCGTTAGATATTTTTATTGTAACTTTGTTTTTTCTGTTTATTTATTTATTGGTTGATGGATGGATCGATCCATTTAAACCCATTTTTGTCCTTTGCAATTTAAAAAACAAACAAAAAGCAATATTAACAGCACAAAAAAGGGAGAAAGGTCTAGTATTGAGCATGCATAAAAAACCTGCTGTAGCACTGGCCTTACTTCGCTAATAGCACGTTATATAGGTTTCCTATTGAAATGCCCTTGTTGAATTTTCTAAGGTACTTGAGAGTAGCATTGGAAGTATTTTGCATCGCATCGCTGATAAAAACGTTTTGCAAGAGTGCGAGGCATTTTCAATATACTGTCGATTTCCTTTATACGCTACGCGTATCAATCATCATTTTAGTTCGAAGACACTCTTACGTTTGTTCTGAAAGGATTTTCATGACGAATGATCTATGGAACGATCTAATTACAATCACAGCTTATCATCTGGTATCAAGTTCATTTATTTTCATTTTGAATTGGCAAACGTTTCGCACAAAACACCCAGAGCTTTTTCCTTAATTAATGGCAATGTCTCAAGTAATTTATGTTTGACCCTAGGTTTACAATATGATGCGCACGAATCAATCCTCTTAAAAGAACAAAAAATCTGTAAGCACAGAAAAATGCCATATTTTACAAGGGATGAAAAGTCATCCGTAATTAGCCTGGACCCAAAAGACAAATGACAAATGAAAATACATCAATTGAATAAATACTGTATATGTTTAGAATACGGGGGGGGGGGGGGGGGGGGGGGGGGGATAAAATTTGCCCCCCCNAAGACAAATGACAAATGAAAATACATCAATTGAATAAATACTGTATATGTTTAGAATACGGGGGGGGGGGGGGGGGGGGGGGGGGGGGGGGGGGGGGGGGATATACATTGGACCCCCCTTACCCTGATTAACTTAGCAGACGAAATGTTTGCTGGCAAACTATCCGTTTAGGAAACAGAACTTGCCAGTATTTTTCTAAGGATAGTTTCTATTTTTCATATGATTGCTTTCTGCGTCCCTGTAATATCCTCCTAATTGCGCACCTGCCTTTCTCTTTGTAATTAACCGTTTCCTTGGTTCTCATGTTCTACTGAGGCGTAGTTATTATTGCTGTAAACATTCTCATTTTACCATCTTAAAAACCGCTCAAGTATAAACTTATATATATGCCCCTCCGGCTGTGTTGCCACTGGCAACCAGCAGCTTGTTAGGTCCCATTCCCAATGAAACTTTCTCTATATGTAAATCGTTCCAACTCCGCAGAGACTCTTGTTGAATGCAGTCAGCTTAACTGAATGACATGCCTTCTCCTCCTTTCAAGGTAATCATATAATCACCAGCTTTTCTGCACTCTACTCAACGCCAGGAGGAGACGAGTTAAGGTGTTAATCTGATTGCATTCAGCGAGATTCCCGCCGGAGTTTGCTCTATCTACGTAGATGGTTTCAGGAAAGGTACATGGTATATGGTTTCAGGGGAAAAAAAGAGGAATAACAATATATTTTACAATTGAATGCCTGATATCATCTCTGTTGTGTAATGTGGCATATGTAAAATTTATGTGTTGCAGGGCTCCGAATTCATACTTGATTTCCTATATGGAATATCTATCATTACTTTCAGACTCCGACTCTAGTTTGGTCACCAGCCACTGCAAATGTGCTTATATTTGACAATTAAAGAATTCCTGTCACACCGGCCGACCAGATAATGGGTGTAGTCCACCTTTTTCAAAAACAATTAATGTCTAATCTTCCTTTCCCTTTTCCACCCTAGAATAAAGACGAAAGAGGACACTCTTAGACACAATTAACTTCAACTTTACATGCGTTTCCCGGACCCGGGGGCTGTGTGATTGCCACTAATTTGCTCATTAGATCTTAAATTGCTTTACCAGGCACTACAAAACCATCTTGATACATTCACAGGGGAGGAAAGTACATTGTCTCCAACTCTCGTGGATAAATTTAATTATTTACGTAATTAGAAATGATTAAAGCAGAGAGTTCAACTGAGGCGATATAATCATTAATACGGGAATAATAGTTGTTGATCCAAGAGGCAAGTTGAATTGCCAACCCGCATCAGTTGACAAAAGTGTTCAAATCTTGACTGAATTAGACCCCATTCCCATATCTGGATCGATCTAACAGGATCGATCCATCTCCAAGGGGTTTCTCGCTAAATTGCTTTCAGATTAAGCTGCTCTGATGTTTGGCACGCCTACTGAAGCTGTTCGGGGGTAATTAACAATCGTTTAGCAGCCTCAGCTTAAGGGAGTGGGGTCTTATTGTTTTATATTCAGCGGCTGAAATGTCTGAAACATGCCACCATTTCTTCCCACAAGAGGAAACTTTCCCGCCCTATCCCCCGTCTCAGTATCCGTTGTCATCTTAACAAATTTTATCCAACCAATACATTAGACAAAGCTTCGCCATTTCAACAATTTACCATTTTTCGGATGTGGGCGCCATGTCTCTCTCTCTCTCTCTCTTTACAAAGTAATAATGTATTGAATTCTTACATCGAACTATCACAAAGAAGTCTGTTTGTTAAAACTCTTTATGGCCTTCAATCTTTTATGGAAGAGCAATCTGATCGAACAAACACTTGGCGGTAATAATTATCTGCAAAGATATCGATTTGCTGGCAATCAGTAAAAAATAGTGTCTCTTAAAGTTGTCTTGACCACATGAAGTGCAAGCTGAAGCTCTCTTCGCGCTGTATTACTTAACTTACCGAAAAGTCAATGAGAAATGTAGATCTGTACTAATCTAGGGCCCCATTCAGAATTGGGAACTTACTAGTCCGAGGGTCAAATATGGCCGACCCACTTGAATACTTCCCCACGGGATATCTATTCAGTGTCTATTAGCGGATTAGACGGCAGCCTTTGTAGTTGGTCGCCATATTTGACCCTCAGACTAATTAGTCCCGATTCTGAATGGAGCCTAGCTCCTTCTGTGTCAGGTATGGTTTTAAATATGGCTCCAGGAAAATTACCGCGTGGAGAGTATTGCACAGAGAGCTCAAGGGCTAAAGACGGCTAAATTAACGGCTAATCAATTTGTTTGTCTGGCAACCGATTTCAGATCTAAAAACCTTTTGGCTGAAACTAATGAGTATAGAGCTCTTGATCACACAGCCACCAGTTCTGGGAAAGAGGCGTTAAGGGTGAACTTAATAAAATATCTAGAAGCTAAAATTCACGGTTGGCTTGCTCCCGTATGCGATAAATGAAACCTCAAATTGACTTGCCATCTCGCGCAAGTGGCTGACACCAGAAAGCCTGACATCAGGAAACGAAAATTGATGACGACAAATCCTCTAGAAAAGGGAGCTTTGATTGCG